GTTGAGGTCCATTCACTCAAGTCCACTGAGCCTCCTGTTGGTTGTGGTTTCAGCGTCAGCTCATTTACAAAACTGTTGCAGTGCTCTTTGGATCTGTCCCACGTATGTGCCACACAGTGACCAGTCTGGGCCCTGGGCAATGGTCTCCGTTTGTTTCCAAGGTCCTTTGCCTGCTGTTTAAAATCCGATCCACGATGCACAACTTAGGGTGAATCCTGGTGTCCATAAAAAACTTTCTGGGGTCAATTTCTAAGCTCCTCATTCCCCACAATCTCCCCCATACTTTTGGACTCTCTGAGGATCTAATTCTCGTCATCTAGCCAGAAACCTGGGATTTCATTTACCCCTGTCTGCTGCAACTAAAACCAGTGAAGAACAGAACAGATTAATAAAAAATTAAAAAAAAAAAAAAGGAACAGGAATTTGCCAGCATATATCTTGTGATCAAAGAGGAATGGTCTCCTCTCTCAGAGTTTTTGATGCCAGTGGGCTCATCCTGTCATCACTGACAGGAGAACTTTGTCCTACTCCTGATTCTGAATGAGAGGGTTTCTCTGGTAGCTTTCTCTGTGTGGATCCATGGTTTAGGCTTCTTTGAGTTTAGGCTGATGGGCAACTGGAGGCAAAAACTGAGAAACTCCACTACTTTCCAGTGGGTGGTATTTCAAAGCCTGGCCTTCCTCTCCAGATTGCCTTTGGCTATTCCAGAGTATTCGAACAGCTGCCCCATGTAGTCTATGTAGGTGTTTTTTAAAGCTGCATTTGATGGGAGAGATAGGATTGATGGGAGAGACAGGATGGAGTGTGCTTATTTCATTTTACCTCAGCTGAAACTCCTTATACGAAGTCTGACAATTAAGTTTGCAAACTTGTCCTAGAAAAAGCAATATATACCTCATGTCTGAATATCTCTATAGGCACTCCCCTTGGCTATCTGGTGACTGTTGTGCTAGCCAGCAATGAGATATGCCACAATTCTTCTAGGATGAGTTCATGAACTTAACTGCCTGACTTCATATATTGTCTGATTCCTTCTAAATGCGTAACTCTAGTCTAGATCTCTTTCCTGTGCTTTAGCCCTTTGCATCTAGCAGTGTCCTGGGCAAATTTACATGACTGCTGTACTGATGTCTTGTGTTCAGTAATTCCTAAATGGAATTCATCATCTTCTTCTGGAAACTAGCATTTTTTATTTTTGAGAATGTCACTGAAATCTGCCCAGGCACTAAGTATGAAGTATAAAAACAAACTCATTTCTGTCGCACATGTCCAATCCATCAGGAGGGCCTATCAGTTTTTTCTCCATCCACATTGCTTCTGCATTGGTCTTGGCCATCAACACTTCTTTCTGGGGTAGTGAAAGGCCTTTCTCATGGTTTATACTCCTCGTTTCACCTCCTACTCATCTGGTCTCCACTGTGCTTCTGGAGTCATCCTTCTATACTGCAAATCCATAAATAAGTAACATTTTGCTTAGCATTCCTCCCTGCTTCCTATGGATCTTGGGTTATGTGAACTCCGTAGCCTGTGTCCCAAGTTTCTTACCATATTCTTGGTTCCCAGGGCGTAAGAATCATAGTCCCCAAGAGCAGGAAACAAGCTCCCATATATAATTTTTTTTCTTTGTCTCTTCTGCTCCTCCTCGGCTCCAGATATGGGCATCACAAGTGTGGTAACAGCTCTGTGCATGGAAGTTTCTGGGTGGATGAGGCAATAGTGTAAAGGAGTTTTTTTTTTTTCCATAATAATAGCTTCCTGCCTTGCACTGTGGCTTTATTGCTATAAAATTCAATGTTATAATTTTCTAACCCTCGACTTGAGTTTCCCAACTGTGACTCACATACTAATCAGGACATGTGCTCCATTTATGTAGCCAAGACTTATAAAGACCAGGAGAGAAAAGTGCTTAACCCTGTAAAGGGGCACCACATGTCGCTATTCTCATAAAAGAAAGACACAGCCTCTATGTCAGTCCTTCTCTCCTTTAGTTTCTGAATTAGAATCTTCATTGGGTTCCACTTGACAGGTATGGGCCATTTCTACTTATAAATGCAATGAACTTCTGGTGCCCTTTTTCTAGATTATATTCTTTGAGGGATACCCTTAGGGAGCAATACTGTGACCATACATGCCGAAGCTGTCCAATGAATGTTGAAGGTAGTGAGATGTGAGATATTGAAGAAATAGTGTAACACCAGGTTAGCAGAAATAAAGGAACTCTTCTATTCAGGCTACCTGGAAAACCAACTTACTGGTAACAGGTAGTGGATGGGGAGCAACCTCCCCTGTGAAACAAGGTAGTAAGGCCAATCTAGATGTGAAACTTGCTTCTTCTGAGCCATATTCCTGTAGACAAGTTCCTTGATTTCTCCGAATTTCAATTTCCTCATATAACATGAAAATGTGAGGCTGGGTGCAGTGGCTCATGCCTGTAATCCTAGCACTCTGGGAGGCTGAGGCAGATGGATTGCTTGAGCTCAGGAGTTTGAGACCAGCCTGAGCAAGAGTGAGACCCCATCTCTACTAAAAACAGAAAAACTAGCTGGGCATTGTGGCAGGTGCCTGTAGTCCCAGCTACTAGGGAAGCTGAGGCAGGAGATTCTTTTGAGCCCAAGAGTTTGAAGTTACTTTGAGCTGTGATGCCAGAGCACTCTAGCCTGGGTGACAGTGTGAGACTCTGTCTAAAAAAATTTTTTTATGTATATATAAATACTTTTCTACATATATATAATAGAAATGTGCTAACTAAATGATATAAGGAAATGAAAGTATATTTGTATGTATGCCCAATACCTAACCATTTCCTTTTAAGAAATGGGCTCTCAGAATACCCAGTCATATTCCTATTTGAAATTACAGCATGAATTTTGTGCTGCCACTTTAAACAGATTCTGAAAATGTCTAACACTACTCCTCCCCCAACATCACACCCTTCTCCCAATCCAGGGAAATTGAGGCGGTAAGAGGATCTGGAGGAGAACGATGCCTGAAGACAGAGGAGGACATCCTGTTTTCCACAACTCTGAATAGCACATCTGCTGCTTCTCTTCCCTTTTCTGAGAACTCATAACCTGAATTCCTAATGCTCAGGGCTCCACATTGTGCACAGTGGATATTTACAGCCTTGCAGTTACTGTCATGATGGATTATTGTACATCATACGGTGAAAGACCAGCTCCCAAGTGAGCGCTTGGGTGTATCCAGAGAGTGTGTACCAGTAATTAGTAGGTACGAACACACATGTACATCTTTAGGAAATGCCAGCGCTGAGCATCTCGGAAAGGTTTTTGGGTTTGGGGTGTATATTTGAGACAGAATATCACTCTGTCACCCTGGGTAGAGTGCCATGGTGTTATCATAGCTCACCTCAAACTCTTGGGCTTGAGCAATCCTCTTGCCTCAGCCTCCAAGTAGCTGGGACTATAGGCTTGGGCCACTGTGCCTAGCTAGTTATTCTATTTTTAGTAGAAATGGGGTCTCTTTTCAGTATAGACAGGGTCTTGCTCTTGCTCAGGCTGGTCTCAAACTCCTGGCCTCAAGCAATCCTCCCACCTCAGCGTCCCAGAATGCTAAGATTACAGGTGTCAGCCACCATTTCCGGCCTTCAGAAAGGTTTTAAAATATGACTACTGGAATGAGGACAGTCCCATAAACAACTGTCAGAGGCAGTGCCTCTCCTGGCCTCCCATCTATTCTCTGAGCCTTCTCTTCAGGCCCCTCTAACCCTTTCTGTGAGTACTGAGTCCTCCTGGCACTTGTGAGTTGAGCAAATGTCTACATTTTTTTTCACCTCATTTTATCCCTCTTAGCTTTGTTTTTCTCAAGGAGTTTCTATCGTAAAACCCTTCCTCCTTTCTTTCTTCACTCAAAATGTACTTGTATGTAACTCTTACCTATTTAGAACCAGTTAATAAACAACCGAGGAAAATAATTCACTAGAGATATTGATAGTTAATAGTTATTGTGTTATCATTCCACAACTGAGGGGGTCCTTTTCAGCAAAGAAGACTTGAAGACTGGGAAATACCTTAAGGAATGAAGTATCGTGGTATAGAATTCTCAGTCCTCAGTCTGTGTGTGAGGAGGTTAGCCATGGAGACATTTCTGAGATCCCGCAAATCGCAGAAGGAAGGAGCCACCTGGCTTCTGTGGTGAAACCACCGAAAATCCCTCCAGGGCCAGCAGTGGCTTATAGATTTTTTGCTTTTCCTCTGCCGTTTCCTTTGACCTCAAGTGGGCAACAAGTAGAAAAAAGAAGACAGTACAAATAACACAACTGGATTAAGACTCCTGAGGCACTTGGCTAAATTTTAAAGTGTTAAATTTAAATTTTCACCCACGTCTCCAAATTTTGACCTAAAACCTTTCCCTTCACACTATGCTTGAAGTTAAATAGACAATTAATCTCAAATATTAGGAGGTGTTTTTTGGAGGGTAAAAAAGGTTTGACTCATGTTTGTAAAGTAACATTCCAAATCTGAACTGTTAAAACAGCTATGTTTTTCAAGGATCTCAAAGCCCCCTTTTCTTAGGATTTCTGGGGGGTTTGATAGCTTCATTTTGTAGAACATAAACTGAGGCCTAGAGAAGTTGAGAGACCTAATCTAGGCTGCGTAGTGAATGCCCATGTGGGGAAAGGGAACTTCTGTCCTGGGGCTAAAATGAGAGCACTCTCCCATGTCTCTGTTGTTGAAATCTCTACTGGTCAGGAGTGGGATGGGAGTGGGGAAAAGACTGGAATCAGGCTGTTGGCTTGAGGTGCTGAGGTCAGCCAGAGAGGCTAAGTCATGGTCATGCTTTGATTGATGCTGGTGTGTGATTTATGCACTCTGTGAGACAAGCTGCTTTCTTCCCCTGTTCCCTTAACAGGCAGTCTTGTTGCTGGAGATGACTGTCAGCTGCTCTCTCTGCATAGCCACCATCACATGCCTCACCACTGGAGCCTGGGAAGCCTGACCACAGCCCAGCATCTCCAGGGCATGAATAATTAGGTAGGCATAATGGAAGGCACTCACTGCACCCTCCAATTGCATGATGCCATTACCGAACTCTGCTACATCAGCTTCTGTCTTCCGAGGGGGGAAGTCAGAGGATTTTCATACAAGGGCACTGTAACTCTAGACAGATCCAGTAAAGGTTTTCATAACTGCTACCAAGTCAGGGAGGGGTCAGACATCGTCAGCCTCAGCCAGGAGCCAAGCGAACATCCAGGTGACATATTTTTCAAGCAGATTCCCACAAAAGACATTCTAACTGAACTGTACAAACTCACGACAGAGAGGGAGAGACTGCTGGCCAATCTGCTGAGCTCAGACCACATCCTGGGGATTACGATGGGGAACCACGAGGGGAAGCTGCCGCCAGAGCTGTCCGTGAGCTTGGCCCCCGAGGACGACGGCTTCCAGAGTGCCGGTGACTGGCCAGGGGAGCTCCCCGTGGGCTCTCTCAATAAGAGGAGTGCCCACAGGAGCAAAAGACCCCGGAGGTCTGGTGGCAGGAGAGAGAGCTTTGAGGCACTCTTGCAGAAGAGGACAAGAAGGAAAGGACGTGGGGGCCAGGAATCAGCTCCTCAGATGGGGAAGGAGCAAATCTGTTTCAGCAACTCCCTTCCTCTGTCTCGAGCGGGGCCCAATCTTTGGCTCCTAGAAGAGAAAGGAAACTTGCTCCCAAATGCAGCACTTACCTCTTCCCGGCACAGGAGAGAGAGCTGTCCCCCAGATATCTCCAGGACCCTGGATGCAGGTCTTGCATTTGAGAGCTTTGGGGTGGCTTCCAAAGACACTGGGCTTGGGAGAAGAGAGCTGCCTCCTGACTGCAGCTCCACGGAGGCAGGAGATGGTAGGCTTCAGGAGCCACTGCAGAGGCCTCACCGGCTGGAGCATCAGCAAACAGGTTTGCTTGAAAGTCACCAGGACCTGGAGAAGCATCACGAGGCTGGAAGGGAGGGGACACAGAAGTTGGATGAGCAGACTTGCAAGAAGAAACCCATTTCTAAAGTGGTGGCCAAGGTCCAGGATCTGTCCTCTCAGGTACAAAGAGTAGTTAAAACACCCTCTGAGGCTGAGGAAAGGACTGCCTCTGGCCCAGTGGCCCAAGCTGAATTTATACCCAGAGCAGACTTGCTCACCCTCCCGGGAGCGGAGGCTGCGGTTCATGGTTCCAAGCGGCAGGGCAAGGAGCAGCGAGGGCATGGGTCTGTGCAGTCTTCATCGGGGGAAAGAGCTGCCGCTCCTGCTGCTTCAGCCAGTGCAGAGGGGGCCGTGAACAAGGTCCTCCTGAAGGTGATAGAGAGTGAGAAGTTAGATGAAGCCACCAAGGGGAAAAGGCTGGGCTTCCCCCCTGGCAAGAGAGCCACCCAAACCCCCTCAGAAACCAGAAGCAAGAAGAGAGCTGGGCTTCCCCCACGGGGCCACAAACTTTTGCACCTGGGTCTTCCCCAAGGTGTGGGTTCCCGCCCCTCACAACCCGGAGGCGATGAGAAGCGGCCTCCCCAGCCAGCACCAGCAGCTCTCAACCTGGTGTTTAATAATTCATCCCCTCAGTCCAACACAGCCAAACGGACATCCCCTGTTCCTTCTCCTCTGTCTCCGAGGAGGCTTCCCAGCCCTCAGCAGCATCACAGGATCCTCCGGCTCCCTCCACTGCCTGGTGAGAGGGAAGCTGCTGTTAATGACTCTTCTGGTACAAAGAGCAGTGTCTTCTCTGCATCTCCATTTGCTGACACCTTGGAGCCCCCATCGTCTACCAAGGTCACGGAGACCAAAGGAGCCAGCCCACCTTCCCTCAGAGCAGACCAACCAAGGTTGGTGCCTGGGGAAACTTTGGAAAAGAGCGTGGGGCCAGGGAGGACCACAGCTCAGCCCGAGCACCAGTCACCTCCAGGTTAGTCCCTGTTTAAGATGCTTTAAATCTGTTCTTGGGTGATTCAAGAACTATCCATCTGCTCGTGCTTTTTAGAGACTGGCTAATTAGCAATGGACAGAAATTCTTAGGATTGTTAACAAGTTCACTTTGTAGCAAAAAACCTGGGAGTGGGACAGGCGAGAGTGGACGTGGTGAGGATGGTGTTAACTTGGGTGCTCAGAGATGTAGTTGCTTGCAGGAGCAATACTTTGTGAATAATTTATTTCTTTTTGTACCCTTCTAAAACTGCCTCTGTGATTGTCTAACACCGGGACTTGCAAAGGAAACAGAACTGACTGAGAGAAATAGTAACTTGTTCCTGCCTTTAATACTGACTCTGGGTAATTGGCCCCTTGACCTGAATTTTATTGTTTGTGCAGCTTGAGTTGTTCTAGGATTCTGTAAGCAGAAGTGCAAAGACATGTCACGTCTTTGATCATCGGCAGTTAGAGGGTTTTTGTTTATAATCATCCCTATAAGAGCCATTATTTCATAATAATAACTTTTTTTTTTTTTTTGGCCTGGAGAAAGTTAAATGCACTCTAATTTAAAGAAGCTTGCTTCAGACTTGTACACGTATTGTGATTTAAAATTTTACATGAAAATTATTTTTTAATTCAAAGAAGACCAAAAAAGGCAGTGTGCAAGAAGCACCACTCCTAGATTGATTCATTGCATTTTCTGCGCCAACGTGGCCAGATGCTCAGGGTTTTGTATGCCGTTGTGTAAATAATATGTTCATTCTCAGTGTTCCTTTAACAGCATATGGTCTAGAGGGAGTGCTTTGTTTAGGAGATAGCTCGTAATATGATATATGGTTGCTTAAAGGTTATAGAAAACATCATGTGCAATTTTTGAGATAAAAATATCTATCTAGGAAAGAGGAGTTTCAAAAGCTTACTGTTCATTTCAAACTTGTGACATTTTGTAAATTTCTCTAAAGCATTGATCCAGGGCATGGTTGTTTAAAAATTTAGTGAATTTTTTTTTATCATGTTTTGCTATATATGAGTCTTGGTTGGGTAAGACTTGCTACTTTCACGATAGAACCAATCAGCTTCACCAGCAAAGTCATAAAACTGTAGTTGTTATGTATCATATATTGTAGAACCCCAGTAATAAAAATTCCTCCTCCCCATGGATGCTGGAGACTGGAAAATACTTAGCAAGGAAGCTCTCTGGATTTATTAGGTCAGAAATGTCTGGAGGCATGGATATGGAAAGGGTGCCTTAACTCCAAAGGTTCTTTTAGAAATCACACCAAATTCTAGCATTGTGCATGCCCCCATCCAGAAACTGCGCAATGAATACATTGATCTTCAGTAAATCCTTTTCTCCCTGATTTGGGATTATCTTATTATTTTATTGCCCTTCTTCTATGTAAAAAAAATGATAAGAACTCAACTGTATATTATAAAAACTTGACTATCTGAGTCAAGCACAGACTGATCTGAGTCAAGACATTTGGTTTCCTTGCACTGGGGACTGACAATGAGGCCACTGAGGGACAAGCTGGATGGCTGACTGGACCTCCCCTGGCCTCTGCAAGGGATGGCTCATTCCTTTTACTTTGTCCTCAGCCTTCCATAATGATCTCAGGTAGCACTTTCAGAACCTCCTAAGAATGACAGCAACGCCCTGCCAGGGAGACTGCTTGTGCTTTTAACCTTTACACATATAAAGAAAGGGTTGGGAAGGGGAAGGAGAGCAGGTGTGCAGACCTTTTTCCTGACATGGATAACTTCTCTTATCTGGAGACCTTCCTCAGGACGGGATCTTTTGTTGGCCTTTCTTTGAGACTCATTAGAAAGGGAATTCTCCTTTGATCCATATCCTGTATTCTTCTCCCCTTTTCTCTCTTTGCTTTCCCTTCCCTGTGGCAATGAGTTATTTTTATTTTCTATATCCTTTGGTAACTCCTGTTGCTGGTGGGCCCGTAGAGGGAGAGTGTTCCTACTTCCAGCTCTCTGTGCCTTTCACTTCATTTCTCCTCTATCCAATCCCAGCAGAGACCTCAGACAGTCACCAGCAGCCTACATGAAGGGTGAATAATTCTTTTACCATCACTGGTCAGTGGGCCTTTATCTGAACCCAGCTCCCACCTTTCTCCCACGTTAGCTATTAACCAGGTCAGGTTTATGATCTGTAGACGTTTATTTCCTACGGAAATAACCTCTAGGTATTTTATTGAAGTGATGTGATGAAGATTATTAAAAGCTCTCATTAATTGCTCAAGTAAGAGATTAAGTCTGGCAAAAGTAATCAGATCTGTTTCCAGTTGGAAGACTTTTTAGTGTTACGGGCAAGTAATAATTCCCAGGAAACGGTGAAATCCTCTTCTCTTTTTTACAATGCCAACCAGATAGAGTTGATATTTCCATCCACAAAAGAAGTAGAATGAACGGATCACAGCGACAATCCACCTTCTATTGGCTTTGCAATTTTCCTAACTCTTTATTCAATGGACTGTGCACAGGAATCCTTTATCTGGTGGTGATACGCTCAAATAGAGACTATGCTGGCAATGAATGGTGGTCAGATCTGTTTTCTCACGGCTGCCTCCAACACCAGCCTTGGAGTTGGTTTTATAGTATTTTATTTTGGTGATGGAGACTGCTGCAGAATGTTCCCAACCTTTGTGAAACAAGGTATTTCCTCAGACCTTGAGGAACTCTAGTGCTAACCTGAATAGCAGTTTCTGTGGGGCTTGGTGCTCAGACTCCTGTCTGTCTGGCTCACTTTCATTTTCCTTTGATCTGAAACAGACTTTTTTAATGCCATCCTTAGGAAATGCCCAGTCTTTAGAGTGCTCTTGAGTAATCTTGTGATCCTTTGTCTTTGATCAAGGTCACTGAGGTGGTGACGGAAGCCTGTGCCCCAGGCATAATTCTTGTTGCTATTGAGAATCATTTGATCAATTCTCGTGCCCATCAAAAGATGTAATTAATGTCAACTGACTAAGGGTTGAGGGGCATTCATGTGATAGATTTTATTGTACCTAATGCTACTGTGAAAGCTTTGATTTCTCTCTGGACATACATCATGGGGAATAGATACATAGTTTCATGTTAATATAGAGGTTTGATGAAATTCCCACAAAATCTTAAAGAGGCTTCACAATGTTAATGGATGGACATATGCAGCCGTTTAAGATCACCACAGAAAGTATGTAGTACATAGCAAATCATCTATAATTAATGTTAAGAGAGAAAATAGGAGTGAAAGATTGCGTATGGTATATTGTACTCACATTAAATATAGGAATTAGACAGAAGTATGTTGCTATTTTTGCAAAAGTAATGGATTTGTCACCTAGCAATCCCACTTTCAGGAATTTAGCTCACACAAATGTATGCACCAGTATGAGTATATGTGGAAGGGTGTTTATTGTAGCATTGTTTATAGTGGCAAAAAATTTACATTCC